GGGGGGGGAAGGTTTTTTATTACATTCCAAATTATAAGCAGGACCTGCTTAAGGTGCTCATTTTTATTTCTATATTTTTGACTGCAAGTAATATCCCTTCCTTTTTCCTTTGCATTCCAGTTTTGTAGGATCTGCCAAAATGGTATTATACTAAACAAATTATTTCATGCCATTTACATGGAACATTTTAAGAAATGCATGGTGTCATGCATGACCACTGCCCATGGCAACTAGGAAAAAAATAGTTCTAAATACATAAGAAACTGTAAAATATAGAAGAATGGCACATGAAAATGACAAAAATATGTTATGCAAGTATTTTGTTATATGTTCCACAAAACAGTCACATTTTCAAAATCTCACTGAACCTGGAGCAAAAAGACAGAAGTCAGAAGAGAGCAGGCTGCTCAACCCAGATACAGACTTATCCACCCCATTAACTCCTCTTTCAACCTCTTTCCTCTTTACCTTTTTTTTTTTAGGATCCCTTCTGTAATTTTCCTGGAAAATTACAGAAGGGATCCTAAAAAATGCTTTGTGTACTTAGCCTCACAACCTGCAACAGCTACACATACATGCAGCTACAAACACTACTCTTCCCATAAACTGATCCTCCAATCGGTCAAAACTCAGAACTGAGTCTAGTTCAACAAGTTATCCATGATGATTTTTTTTTAAATTACAATATCATCAACTAGCATCAGAATCTTCTTTTTTCAGCTACTGGCAGTAGCTTCCACAGCTGTCACAATCCCTCTCTTCAAGGCTAAGTGAGAAGAGTCATAACCAAGCATGATGTATTTACATATCAAATGTAAACAGAAACAGCAAATCTGAAACATCTGCACAAGACTATTGATCCACAAACAAGATGCTTGAAGTCTGAGACTGAGTTTGCCCAGAAGAAGGCTAATCCCACAGTCAAGGCTTACAGAAAAAAAAAAAAAAATTTTAAAATTATTGTTTTTACTTTTAATAGCAATTTCAAGTTCCAGTAAACGCAGTGAAGCTCACAGTATGCTTACACAGAAAAAAAAAAAATCCTGCTTACTGCGGTAAACCATAATACAGGCTGGTGTTCATACGTTTTGATTCTTTCCTTCAGTTCAGTTGTACTAACAACACATTCCAATTGTCAACACCTATCTGCACAACTGGCCAAGTCACTGACCAGGGCACAAATCAAGACAAAATCCACTATTATTCAAACACATGACAACATGCTTCTAGAGAAGAAAATACAAAGTAAAAAGAATCTTCAGAATTTTGATAGATACGGGAAACTACTTTCAAAAGTCAACTTCCAAAATATTTCAAAAACACTAGGGGGCTTCTAAGTCTGTATGAAGATTTACTTTCATTTTGAAACAGACTAAAAATCATACAACAACGCTTGTCAGTGATTCAGTATACACAGCTCATGATCAGAATTCATCCAAGCATCCAAACATCAGAATGCTTTATCTCTTTCAAAAGTCCCATATTTTCAAATATTTTAAATTGATCTCACTGGGAGAACTTGCTAGTCAATACACACTCAAAACCACTTGTTTGGTTGGTTTCTTTAACAGAAATATTCATGAAGAGACTGTACAAAGAGTACACCTATTAAAAGTAGTAAAGCATGAATTTACCTCTTTAGAATCATCAATTCTCTCAAAATAAACAAAAGCAAATCCTCTTGATCGTCCAGTCCGTTGATCATACACCACATTGACACCAGTCAAAGGTCCGTAACGGGAGAAGACTTCACGCAGATCTCTCTCAGTAGTATACAAACTGAGACCAAACACTCCGAGACATGTATTAGGATCTGGATTCGCCTGGTAAGACAAGCATTAAACTCCAATTAAGTTTATAAATAACAATTTATATACTCTTATAAAAACTTCTTTATTATAAACAAATTTAACATGAAGGAAACTAAATGCAGTTTTCTAGCTTTCCAAAGCTTAACACTTCAACAGATCATTCCAACTGTAGATTTCCAAAAAGCAATTATTTATCTTTTTCTAAATTAAAAATAATGAAAAGATCAACTTCTCATGCTGGGGAAAAATTCAGTAAAAATAAAGCCTTCTGATGACAGAAAAGCCATTGATTACCAGGAACCTACTGTACTAGCATCTCAGTCAAATCACAAACAAGCTAGAGATCTGACCTACAAGGCTGTGCTGACAGGTCAGCCACCTGAACCGCCACCCTTCAGCCTTTCTGCACGTCCACCACCAGTACTGAGCACACGTGCTGCCTCCAGCCGCACGCACAAAATGTATCTGAGCTCCTAAGCGTGGGCATCTGAACTGCAATTTAGCTTCTACCAAAACATTCCTTCCCCTCAATATTTCATATCCTACTATACTGAAAGTCAGCATTTACATTTGAAAGTTTATCCCTTTTCACTTGTAAAATGGATGAAAATCACCTGCTTCTTTCATCTAGATAGTAACAAGCATTGAAGGCAGCTATGCAGCTGTACCCCCAAAACATGCATGCTTTTCTATAGCAAGACTCCTGATACTTTAACACAATGTGGGATATAGATCTACTTATCACACTTCACCTCAAAGGAAGTCAAACATGAAATTGTATAATTTCTCTATTAGGTTCAATGTTTCTCCACATGCCAAAGAGTTCGTGTAGTGCCAATTCCACTGTAAGAATTATTTTTATCAAAATTAGCATTTTTTTCAGTTAAGCTTCAGGCATCTGTTATACTAGATGCAGCAATTTGAAATGGCAGCAACAGGCACAGAGTTTAATATTTCTGCTAAAATAATAACTAGAAGCTGACACAGTTGAAATTTCTATTTCTGTTTCAGATTTTCAAAACCACTGATGTGCAGTGATTTATGCCTCAGAGGTTGCCTTCCAGCCTGATTCAAAGAACAAACAGGTTTAGGTCTTCTGTCATGTTCCCTTCAGAGCTTTTGTTCCAGAATCCATTGTAAAAATAAGATGCCCAAACTACTCATACATGTGATGTTTCTTTCAATTTGGCAAAGTTCAAACTTTTGTTTTAAGATAAGAATCTTCCACAATTCCTTGTCATAGTTGAGGGACACAACAAACACTGGCAGTTTGTAATTTGAAAGTTTTAACAGGTTTAAAATTCTTTTTTTAGTCCATATTTCAATCTATATGATAATTAAGTGGCATTAAAAGTTACACTCCTTTTACTAGTGAAACTCTCATTAGTCTAATGAAATCACGCAGTCTTTTAAATCACTGTTTGGACAAGGCCCTCCACACAGTATATACCAGTACTGTCCTTTTTTTAACATCCACCTTACACTTAAAGCCCGTTACCTTTTCTGAGGCCAGAGAAGCATGAAAATCAGTCTGTGCACTCTAAGCAGCAAGTAAGTTACACCCCCCACCAGAAGAACTAAATTGACCATGGAGGACTAAAAGACATCTTTTAAGTCGGGCTTTTGTACTGCTTCCCATCAAAGCAGTATACAAGGTCTCCCAACAAGATCAGAAGCTGCAAGAGAGCTACCAATTTTCCAGGTATCTTTGGGACCTTGTTGCTTAGGGGACTCAAAACTTTTTTGACTTGAGCTTTGGTTTGATGCTACTAGAACTACTCCTTGGAACTGTCCTAGGTTTAGCTAGAATGAAGTTAATTTTCTCCCCAGCAGCTAGTACAGTGCTGTTTTGGATTCAGAATGAGAATAACATTGATAACACACTGATGTTTTAGTTGCTGTCAAGTAGTGCTTATCTTAAGTCAAGCACTTTTCAGCTTCACCTGCTCTGCTACTGAGGAGGCTGGGGCTGCACAAGAAGCCAGGAGGGGACACAGCCAGGACAGCCGACCCAAACAAGCTAAAGGGGTATGTTGCACCATACGAAATCATATCCAGTACATAAACTGGGCATGACATCCCAGTGGTGCCACCACCCATGAGCTGGCCATGCGGACTACAGCTTGGTGACTGGCCAGGCATCCATCAGCAGGTAGTGAGCAACCGTATGTTTTGCATTATTATTATTTTCCCTTCCTTTTCTGTCCTATCAAATTGTTTTTCTCCACCCATGAATCATACACCACCACACCCTCTCCCCCAGATTCTTTCCCCATCCCAGTGGATGTCAGGCAGGGAGGCAGTAGCGTGGCCTGTGCGGTGCTCAACTGCCAGCTGGGATTAAACCACAACAAGGACTAATGTGAAATTCACTGTGAAAACAAGTTTTGTGTTTCACAGTAATGTCCAATGGAAACACTTATTCACAGAGCAAAATATTCTAATATTTCCTACAGTAGTAAAGTGGATTCATTCATCTTTCACCAGGAAGTCTGCTAACTCTTTTGAAGTTTAGCTATTCTTGCCAATTTTTCAAGACATTAGATTCATATTTACTACATCATGATTACACACTGGCAGCAATCCACAAAGTGTTAACTATGAAAATTGCTTCACAACAGCTTAAGCCACTGTACATTGGCACTGCTGCAGTCTTGTCTTTTTCCACACACTCCTGTCTCTTCCCTCCAATTGGTATTACCTGGTCCTGGTAAGCCTGCAAAAAAATCTATACCCTTTTTGAAAGCATTAGTAAAATATTTGGAGAAACTAAACCAGATTATAACAAAAAGGATCAGAACAGTAACACAGCCCTTATCAAGGAAGAAGCAGACCTATGTGTCAGAGCACTCTTTGAGATCAACCTGAAGTGATGTAGAACCATATCTAAGGTACCGAAACAGATTATAAAAGAAGATCATTAGGAAAAATCTCTCACAGTGACATCAGGTTAGTATCTTAGACCTTGGTTTGTGTACCTGTACTTCCTCCCTTCCACCATGGACTTCCTGTCCATACAGATACTTCGCATTTATATTTTGAGAGGGATACTGATCCTTCTCATGACTGTAGATTTTTATAGTCTATTAAGATTTACATGCCAATCACTAATAACATGTGGGTTTATTTCTTCAAGGTAAAGCAAATTAATTACTCAGAGGTATAAAAATCACAAGCAATCTTCAACCAAATATGCTGTACATTAAAAGCAAACAAAACACTTGAGAATGTTCTTTTTTGGCTCCTTTAGTTACCAATACTGTCAGGTTGCAGGCATGCACAGAAAGGTTCTGTGCCTCTACGTACCCTTGGGAAGGGCAGGACACATATGCTTGCAACTATAATAAAAACAGAAGGGTTCAACTTCTTGAGCAGATGGAAGCAGATGCCACCCTATCTGCACATACTGACTTGCAACAGTATGGTTTTTCAATTAATTTCTCCAACTGCCCTACCAGCTGCAGGACCAAGAAATAAGTGCCCAGCTGTAAGGACAGAGACTGCTTCCCCTGTCCCTCCTCCAAGTGCCGCCACCTCAGTGACACAACAGCAGGTCAAGTTCAGCCTGCAGGGAACCTGGGCTATGCTGACGAAAGCAACAATCGTTTTGTTGATACTCGGCCTTGCTGAGCATGACGTACTCTGCTGCCAGTGTGCCTTCTCCTGTTGGACATTGGAGAATGGCTACGGCTCCTTCGACGACGGTATTCTGGCGTGTACGATCTGCTTCGAGAACGTCTCCTATGGGAATGAGAATGGGAATGGGATCTGGAACGAGTGTAACGTCTGTGCGAATGTCTTCTGGACCTGGATCTTCAACAAAAAGAAAGCTTTTAGTTAGGTCATATGCACGTAATGCAGTGAACTGTAAGCCCTACATTTGCTAAAGAAACTTATTTTTTAGAGGGTCTCTACAATTAAAATATTTTGGTTTTTTCTACTATGCACATCTAAAGATTGTGTAGATCTCTAATAACCTGCTTGGTGGCATAATTTTTAACTGTGAGAGTTAAAAATTAATTATATATTTTGGCATATAATTAGGATTATATTCATTACTGTTTTCAGAAAGTTCAAAGTTTATATTTATATCAGCTTGGCTGCACATGCAATACCTGCACAATATAGAAACCAGACATGTCACACTGTAAAATACTCTCTTGGTTGAAAAACTGGAAGATCTAACAGTGCTACTGTGCTGCAGTATCGACAAATGAAATTCACCCAGGTACATTTGAAAATTATTCAAGACAAAAAGCCTCAACTGCTTAATTCAAGCATTTCTTTGCAGACATCTAGCCAATGATAAGGCCAATTCTAAACAGGCATCACCTCATCAGAGCTGCATGACTTTGTCTGGGCATTATACCCTAATAACAGGTAGTTGGTTATCCGGCTAAACATTCCAAGGATAAAGCTACAACATTAGGCTGAACTTTGGGAATTCAGGGCACAGTAACTCTTTTTCAGCTACCCTGACTTAAAGCATATAAAAAGGGAAGATAAGATTACTTATCTCTCCCAAGAGCTGGGCAGGAGGAACAACATACTACTGCGCAGTTCCTTCTTCCCCCTCCAGAGCTACAAATGCTGCTTTCTGGTTTCTCTCTCCACTGATGAAAGAATGATTCAGTAGCTCTCCCCATTTTCACCAGTATGACGATACAAGGGAAGAGATAAGACAGGTAGCATAAGCCAAGTAATATTTATCACATATCAAGGGAAAAAAAAGACACTCCTCTTCTGTTTGGAGTAGGCGCTCTCATAATTTGGAACTATACAATTTTGCCTCTGCACAGACATATCTGATATGGAAAAAGACAGAAGGGCATTTGCAGCATCAAAAAATGAACTTAAATCTTAAAGCTCCCATAAATCAAGAAGGTATTAATACCCAGTTTAAGATGTTTTTAGATTTTGCTTTCAAAGGCTAGTTTTTGTTTTTAAAGCCCTCAAGAACCGTGAAATGTCAAGAACTGCCCCAAGTAGCATCTTCTAACATTCCCAACAGTTATAGAGCTTACTCCTTTTATCTAATCAAGATCACCTTTGCTGCAGTTCTCACTTGACTTTCCCCCCCCCACAAAGCAGAGGTCCACGCAGGAGTTCCCCCCTTATAAGATTTTGGGGGAAGGAGGCAGGAGCTTTTACAGAACTGAGATGTAATCCCTTCTGAACTGAAACACAATCTCTTCTCTAGCTTCTGGACAAGATAAACCTACATATTTTAGTTGTGATTTCTACATTAATACTTTTATTTGTACTACTTTATTCATACCCGGGCCTTATTCTGCACCCTCCCCCCCCCCGGCCCCACTAGCATGCAAATTAACACAACCCTGTTAATACACTCAGGTCTGTAATTTTTACAAGGCAAAAAGGAATCTCATCAATGTACCAAAAGAGCAGGCATAAGCAGTAACACTAAGTTAACATGAATAACTCCCTGAACAAACCTTGATTTTGATCTTGACCTTGAGTGCGACTCAGAATGTTTGGAAGCCCTCGATGGACTGCGAGATCCTGACCTGCTCTCCGATTTTACACGAGCAGGACTCCCAGCTGGAGATTTTGACTGGGAGCGAGACTCCTAACAAAAAAGACAGTATTAAAAATGGTATTGGTTGTATAAATGCCTAACTCCTAACATTTAAAGTATTGTAATTCTACTATATTGATTGCTCCTGAAAAACAAATGGTTAGGCAATACCCTCCAAAACAAATTTCATTTTGCTAGCCCACTGTTAATATTGTATGCTTTCCTCAAATAGGTCCCTGCTTGAACCAGATCACCAATTCTCTATTAACTAAGTAATCATGCAAATTCATCTACAACTTGATCATACAGACACTGGAACATAAACCATACATTTACTTAACCTAGGACCCATTCATTCTTCCAGATTCTTTTAATTCTACTTCACTCTTGCTTTCTACTTTTCTTCATTCTTCATTGAGTTTTTCATTTTTCATACTTCGTGTATTCTTCCCCAATTCAAACAATTCCTTATAGCCTTAAAAAAAAATATTCAAGCGCTTCTATCTGACCAATCTTCTGTTCAATTTTTTCCCCCATTCAATTTTAATTTTCTGATCTTTAATACTTTTCATTAGCCTTCTTTTATCTTGATTTATCTTCCACATTCTTGGAAAAAACTCTTCAATTTCTTCACGAACATTAACCTTAATGGAAAAAGAACATTTAGTATATTTAAGCACGTGGGGATTATAAAACTCTGCTGGAGTTCAGATGTTATCTACCAAATTGAAAAGCCAGCAGGTAAAGTGCAAGAAACTACTTTATAAAACAACTTTAAAAAAAAAAAAAATCTTTAAAACTGTATAAGTGTCTATGTTCTAACAATGAGCTTACTCAGTTCTCAGTGTTCTACTGTATTTTCAAAGCTACCCTCCTCCCCTTTCAGACTTTATGTTAAGAAACATAGATATACTAAAAACTAATTAGCACAAATATATTCAAGTACTGGTATCAATAACTGTAATTTCCCCCCTAAAATAATAACTATGTACTTCTCAGTATCAAATATCCCAAATTCTACTCCTACATATTATTACTAAGACACTCCCAATTCAACAGAATGGCCAAAGATTTCCAGTCAAAACCTATCTATGCACATACTTACTCACACAATACATGCATAGATATATGTAACAAATTATTACAATTCTTCCTAATTTTTCTTCCTCGTTGTTATCCTGTTTTCCTTGCATACAACTTAGTCCATATAAAACCAGATGTATAGTAGTACTGTTCAAAGCAATCCAATAAAAGTAAAGACTTGAGGTCTTTTTTCTTGCATGGTAATGCACACAAGAGAAAAACTAGGAAAACAAGCAAAGAGCTGGTTAGGATCTCCTCACATTTTATAGTGTGAACAGCATTTCTAAGGAGGTCAGCTATAAAAAAATACCATACAGAACAGTATGCTACATACACATTACTTCACAAAAATTGTGCAAAATTATTATTATTAAAAAAAAAAAATGAATAGTGTTTCCCTCCCGTAAGTGTTACATTTCATGCTTATTTGTATCATTCCTTCTCCTGCCTGTCCTCACAATGCTTTTCTCAATTTCTAACTTTGCCTATGTTCAGATTTGCATTTTTTTTTTGCAGTTAAATCCTCCGCTAGTTTAGGCTGATGTTCTTTTCAAAGGACGCTGCATTTCAAGACAGTAAATCCACCAGAAATGGAACCTAAGAGACTCCTTGCTAACAACTATTACAGCTACACTACCCTTCCCCCTTACCTCAATAAAAAGGACAAGAGAAACATGGAGAATGCTACCTTTTGGAATGACAGGCCTGCCAAGCTTATCAATGAAGGCAAAATTCAAAGTGGGCCATATGATTCATGATTCAGGTCTGCATTACAGGTTACCCTTATCAAGCTGGCTATATCTGCTGATCTAGCTACTTGACTTCCACCGAAATAAAAGGTTGTTTATGCAATTAAATATCACCAAATTTTATGTGGTGTTTCTGTTTTTACATCTGAAATCCCCTGTTCACTAAAAAAGACACACGTCCTTTTACAACCACTGACATGCTTTTTGATCATCTTGCCTCTATTTCTGTACTCTTCATTGTTTGATAGCCTCCTTAATTCTTCCTTCTACACTTCATCCCCTGCAACACTTCCTAGTTTCTCTGGGAATTATTTCCATTTCCCTCCCTACTAAATGTGCTCAGCAATAAAGAAACTTATTTCACATGACATAATTCAGATTTACTAAACATCCTTCAATAAAAAGACATTCACCATCCTCAGTCACTCCTCCTGCCTTGTCCATACCTTTTGCATTTGGAAGATAACTCTTGAACAAGAAATTTGAAAACTTGAACAGAACAACAACAAAAAAGATACTGCACAATCCTGAAGTGTTGGGAGGTGCCAAAAACACTAAGGCCCAAATCACACCCATACAATGTAAAAGTTAGCTTATTGTCCTTATCTATTCTAGTGAAGTATCTTATGACACTAACCAGAGAGTTTCTAATAGTATCAGTTATGACAACAAATCTGTATTAATTTGCAAGAAGCAAATGTTACATCATTTCACCTAGGTCAAGTCCTCTTGGAACAATCTCTTTAAGCACTTTAGGGACTGTGCTCACAAATACACAGTTTTAAAATCAGGAGTGACAGAGATGACAGCTTAAGTTCTTATATAACACAAACTTTCTCATAGTAACCTACAGTGTTTCAAACAGAGAGACTACGGGAATCACAGTCATCTGCAAGAGTTTAAGGACTTCAGAATGACACTGAAAAGGTACCTAACAAAATCTGTGTCGCCAAAACTACAGGCAGGGATTGAGAGGTTCAGAGCTTCAGTGAGTGACAAAGGGAGATTTTAGAGAATTTTCCTTCTCTGCTTCCTAGTATAAGGAAATTATTAGCACACAAAACTAATCTGTATCACAGACTGATCCAATTGTTCTGCACCAACAATTTATATCCATTCTGCAATATAAAGAAGAAAATTAAGTACACAATGTTTTCTTAATATGTCACCTTTACTGAGAGAAAATAGACACCTCTATTATCCAAACCATTAAAATCTCTCAATTCTGTACTAGTCTTGAAGCAACCTATATACTCGGATCTGTCTTCATCATTATCACAGAAATTAACTTAAATACTGCTTAAGACAGAAAAGACTAGAATTCTTTTCTAGATCAACATCTTCTTATCTTTCTATTCTAAAGATCCTCAGTCATTTTGAGTGCCACAGATAAGATTGCATTTCTTAACCTTCTTATTCTACAACTATCTCACAAGAAAATCTCTTTCAATGCCTTGGGCTTTATTATGCAACTATCCAGTCACTACTTTCACCCTTACAAACTCATAAGCAGACAGTCACTTGTGACCATGCAAAATTACCTAGATTTGCTGTCACTACAGGCTGCAGGAAGATACAGTCAGCTAGCTTCCTGATACTTTTCAGATCTGACTTCCCTTTCAAAACAACTGCTAGGTCTGTCAGTAACAGGCCAAAACAAAACAAAAAACCCTGAGCCCAAAACCCACCAAAACCAACCAACAACCTGCCAAAAAAAAAAAAAAAAAAAAACAGGAAAAAAAAAAAAAAAAACTAAAATAACACTGTTTTAAAATTTCAATCGTAACAGCACACCTTCCTCAGAATAAGATGTGGTGGCTCCCTCAAATTCATAGCAGGAAATGGGATTAGCCATTTATGAAGAAGGGAAACTTGGAGCCAAAGAAATTACTACAGGTAAACATAAAATCTAAAGACTGAAGTTTCAGTTACTGATTCACTGAATAAGAAAATTCACAGCTAGACGCATTTAAAGACAGCACTGAAAAGTATTTTTCATAGTTTCTACCTTCTCTCTTCCAGAATGAAAATAATACCTCCCCACCCTCCACCCCATTACCTTATAGTCACAGTAACCCAGTCATTGAACAACTATTAACAACTTCAGATGATCCAGCTGAGCAAGACATCAATCACGTCAATGCATTTCATCCAGATTGGTACAACTGTCTAAACCATATCACTGATACAAGTTACATCAGCTGCTAATCTTCCTCAGGGGGGGAAAAGAAATAAAAAAAAGATAGAAAATGCAATTTTTCTGTCTTTTATACCACTCTTCTGTCCTAAACTTCTCTCATGACTTACCTCACCTCACCCCTTACCACTTCAGATTATGGCAGAAAGGCTATCAAAATTTAAAGCAAGATGTTAAATGAAAAGAACTTAATAAGCTTAAATGAATCGTTCTATAGCAAAGCATAGGAAATTAAATGAGCAGAAGCAAAAAAAAAAATTAAATCACACAAGTTTCAGTAGAAATTCATTTGAACTTGTTAAGAAATACACAGGATGTGAAAAAAAGAAGCCGTTTAGCAGTACCATTAAGCCAGCAAAATGATAGTTCACACTTCACGAAACTCAAGTTAAAACCACCTGCCCAAGCTAACAAAAAATAGATGAAGCCAAACTTTCTAAGGTGACAGAAATACATTAGCAGTCATAAAGAAAGAGAAATTTAGCAGCAGCCTACATTCACTGGATAGAACTGTCAAACAAGTACACATCCCATCTATGAGAAAGGACAAGATTACATTTTAGCCACTGTTTTGACAGCAATCTACCAATTTTCCTTGAAACTCACCAGAGAACTTAAATAATTTTTGCTTCATACTATTTTCTGTCAACCAAAAATAAGACTGATCACTTAATTAGTTGTTCTTCAGTAATACACATAAAAAAACTTCTGTATAGAAAGGAACTTGTAAGTTGTGCTATCTTGAAGACTCTCATATTTTAAGTTACCAATGTCAGAAAAACGTGCATTTATCGATGACACTGCTCTGATTTTGGGAGGGTGAGGGTAGGGAA